TTACCCTTCATCTACCTTTCAAGCTCCTGGGAAGGAAGCAGAAATGGGGAATGTTCATTCACTCCTTACTCCTGTTCTAAAATCTTCCTGTCACATGGACTACAAAAGTATATTTCAGTTAATAAGAGGGTTTCATTTGTATGACAAAGACATTATTGCTAATCATGACAGCAAATGATGTTTTCTTAGTCTGATAATCTTACTGTCATTTTAGGTTCCCTAGGAGAAAGGACTCAATAGGTAGGGTAAATAATAGCAGTAAAATTTAGCATTGAGCAGAAGAGGAATCAGTAACAGCTGAGTTGTGTTCTGGATTGTTCTTAATCAGAATAAGGGGGTTTGCATTCTAAAATGGCAGAAACTTCTTGCATCAGTGTGGTGGCATCATGCTGAGTCACCAGGTCACTGCTGTTGGCTATGAGAAATACAGAGCTGCAATTTCCAGACTTTTTTTCTAAAAAAAAAAAAACAAAAAAAAAAAAAGAGAGAGAGAAAACCATGTCCTGTTGGCAACAGAACGTGAAAAGAACTACAGTCTTATTCCAATCAACTTCTCCCTGTAATCTTTCCAAGATTCGAAGATTTCTAAGTCGGCTCCAGAGGCTTCTTATCTGCATATGTGTATCATTCTTTCTACTGTCACGGGACCTAGAGGTCACAACCAAAAATGATGATCCTAAAGATGTTAGACAGCAGTCAAGCTAAACAAAATATCGGATATTTGATTAAAGAGTTGAAGTGGAAGATCAAATGCAACGTGTGAGGGAGGAGTGAAACAACGAGACAGCACATCAGCAATCTCAAGTGTGAGGCACCTGCAAAGTCCCTGGAAATTTGTTGAAGTACCAGTACTGAAAGCAACAACTATACGCAGTTTTGGTGGCTCAACTAGAATCTTACCAACCCTGGAGTAAAACAAATAACAAAATAACCAAAAAGCAACCTCCCCCTCCTCCCAAGAAACCTACATACCTCCTAATTCATGAAGAACTGCTTAACAGGAGGAGGATTTTCCTCCTGTCCTCCTCCCCAACCACAAACTCCATCAAACAAGAGCTCACAAGCATTTACAAGGACCTGGCACATCATATATAGCTGCTGCTTAAGAAATTATTAAACTGCAGTGAAAGTGGGAGTTATGTGCCTTTTTCAATTTCATATTCAATATCCTTACCAATATGTCAAATAAATTTCCCCCACGTTCACAGCATGACGGGCAAAGCTGTTGTACAGAAAGACATACAGCATTATTTATAAAAGTTGTACTATTTCTAAAGGTTTTAATTCTCATATACATCAGCTGTTTTCCTGAGTGCTTTACACCAAAATACCTACTAATTCAATTTTAATATGTTCTTTTACAATACAAAGCATTAAGTACATCAGTGTGTAGATTAGAGACAAAAACTACCATGTTTCAGTTGATTTTGGCTTTAAACTATGAACTGAAACTGCTGTCAAAAAGCAAGCCATAAATCATGTCTACAAATGGTACTGTAAGTGCCAAAAAACCCTAAATTTTTAGGTAAACTTTTAGGTTACAGTTTAACTGCTATTGCAGGGAAAAGGCCTCTACACAAAATTTATCTGAAGCTGAACAAATAAATGTAACCACCTGCTGTGCAGAGGCTGAAAAGCTACCCGACAGCCTTGCTGAGTATTCATGCATGACAAAACTCATTTTTGTAGAAGACACAAGAAATGGTTTTATTCTGTGATTCACTTGCTGCTATAGAGGAAAAGCTGTATTAGTAACAGCCATTTCCAATGCCCAACATAACACAGGTTGTGTACTTCTTTTAAATTCATGCTTATATGAACAAGATCTCGCCTTTTCATTAAAAGCATGCCATCGTAATTTCAATGCTGGCAGTGACGGACATAACCCATCACAACCCACTCCAAACTGTTCCAACAGCTAATTATCCTGTCAGGAATAACGTCCCACTTTTGTCTTTCTTTAATGTTAAGTTCAAGTTATTCAACTTCATCAAACACGTATATCTGCTGGATGGAACGACCATCTACCATAACACCACTTTGCAACATAGTTTCTTTTAGACCATGAAAACGATCATTTAAGATCCTTCTCAGCATTTCATTTAATTCATTTACTAATGCCTCCACTGTTAGCACAGCATTGTTCAGCCCAACTTGCTAACATTTACATTTTTCTTCAAATCTGAAGGTTCAAACTTGACATAGCACTGCGTCAAGGAGACAAGTTATATCTCAACTCAAAATCACACAGTCCCTTTTGCCACAACTTTGCAAATCTGCTTATTTTCAGATTCGATGTTATCTCAGATGTATATTTTTAATTTTTTTAATTAAAATCTCTTCTTCAGAGAACAGTCTATATGTTCTTTAATTTCCAAAGTAGCCTTACACTAGACCAGCAGTTCCCAGTGCTGCCTGCCTCACCTGATAGGGAAGTTACAAAAAAATGATGAGATTCAGGCAGAGACCGACTGAACTAACATGTCTAAGCCCAAGCTGGTTGCTGCAAGGCCAGGCAGGACAGTGCCACCCTCCCACAATAGGTGCAATATGGAGCAGAGCACAAACGTTGCCCAAGCAACTCTTGGCTTTGCTAAATGGGTCCACCTGGGGAAGATGATGATAATCCCTGGAGGCACCCAGCTTCACGTGGCAGGACGAGCCAAATAAAGCAAAGCTTGAGACACTGTTGGCTTTCTCAAGTGAAGCACAGCTGTCAAAGGACTGGAAATCATGTCATTACACTGTGTTAGAATGCATACATTTTGTTTATAGTTGGTGGATCGCAAAATGCAAATTTGTTTATACAAATTATCTTGAATTTCACACTCCACAGATACAAGGGCTGACAACTTTCCACTTATATTTTGAGACAGACATAATACCTCCTTTGACAATGTATTTATCATGTATTATGTTAATTTCTATATTCTAATTTCTCAAATAAAACATGGTGCAGCATGATTTGTTATGGAAGTCACTCTATTACTTTACTAATTTTACCTTCATCAGCCAGCTGATAATCTCATCACAGAAGACATGAGTACCTAGTTGTCAACCTCCAGTTTCTGCACCTCCACAAAGATTGTAATTAACCATTCTTACTCTTTTGTTTAATATTTTTCTTCATTGAGTCTTGTTCCAATATTTGTATCAATGAACACCAGACAGAAACATTCATAACTGAATTTGCCATTTCATATACTTTTTCTTTTTGTAAATATTAGCAGCTTTTTTCCAAATGCCCTGGAATGCCCTCAGTGCCCCAAAAGTTCTAGAAGAAAAACAATTATTTGTGGTTACAGAAAAAATCCTCAGCCAGCTTTTTAAACTCTGCAGTTCAACATATCCCGACTGGCTAGTTTTAAAACGTCTAGTTTCACAGCTGCTATTTCATGTCCCCCTTAGTTGCTAGACTGTTCTAATTACATGGTTCATAAATATGCTATGATGCAACTAAACTTAGTTTTACCCTCTAAACCCAAACCAAAAGCACTTACTGAACAAAGCTGCTTTTTCAAGTACCAGTGAATTTTTTATCATCGCACTAATAGGCCAATAACAGCTGCATATTTGTTCTCAACCGACTTGAAGACTGGTCATTGGCCTTCTACCTCCTCACCTGAGATTCTCTGCCTTTATATCGTCCCGCAAAGGCAACAGAAAGCACATTTTTGTTTACAACTCAAATAAAAATACAGTTGCTATTTTTTTTTCTCTATAACATTGATCAGTCCAGTCCCTCATGATTGCCTAAATAGGGCGGTGAGGGTTTGTTTTCATTTTTAAATACGCATCTATCTCAAAATTCTCACTGGGCTAGTTAAGTCCTCCTGAATCTAGCAAAAGAATCAACATTTTCCACTTTTTCTTGCCTTTTTGCTAAATGTTAAGTATTTCTCCCCACATTCTCTGAACAGACCAAATACCACTTGAATGCAAAGATTTCTGAACTGAAGAGCACAGTACGATATAAAATGATTTCTTTCCATTATTGCAACTTTCTCCATCTGTCTGAAGCTCTGCCTACTTTATATTACATCAGACAGTCCTCAAACGGGCTCATATGAGTTACAAAGCTGTGTATCACTGGTATCAGGGTCTTGAACACTTCTGGTTCTCAGCACACACAGTAAACCATTGTAACAAGTTGTTGTCTTGATCACCTTTACCTATGGTGGAAATAGAAAGCTCCAGTGAGAGAACCCATACCAAACTTTGCAGACCTGAAGGGCATTTTATATATATATATAAAAACATAAATATATATAAAAATATATTTTATATATATAAAATATATATTATGTATCTAAAAAACTATATGGCAAGTATCAGTCCAGTTTTAAAACCTTGATAGCATTTTCCTTGCATAGTCTGACTACTTTGCCAAAATATGTCAAAATTTCTTTCACAGTTAAATATCTTGTATTGTAGAATGGGCAATTGTTGTATTCCATACACTTTACAAGTCTCTAGTCCTGGAAAAATGAGTTGAATTAAGTTTCATGAGCATCTTCATGAGGCCAAAAATTCACTGACAAATTAAAATTAATTCTGCTATAAATACATTTTTATTCCATTTATGCACACAGCTCTTTTTATAGCTGTTAAAACTCCTTTCTCCTTTTTAAACACTATTGAAACTGTCAGGAACTACATTTTAGCAGTCATTGCATACACATCATGATTCCTAGAATTTAAAATGGAATTGTTGATGGTTCAGATACTGTTAGACTGTCATTAGTTCTGCAAAGTATGTAATTTGCCATTCTGGAAGAAATGACAGTACCTTCACTTGTACAACATGCTTTTAAACTTCCTCGCTCTAATTTGAAAATGCCAGTATTATACTCTGCTTCAAGAGAGATATTTTTAAGGCTTGCAGGTTGGCTTGTCACAGAGCAATTTGTCAGGTAGTATTTTGTCTTCGTTAAGGTTTATTCACAAAAAGTGATTGGCCTGTCCATGATATTCCCCAAAGACAATACATTCCGTCTTACCTGATGGTAATGAGGCCCGTGTTAAATTTTCACTTTCCTCATCAGTGCTGCCATCATAGTAATTTTCTCTCCCTGTACCCATCTGAGAGGTAGCTGCACTATTCCTAGGAAAAAAAAAAAAAAAGGACATTTTTTCCGTCTCTTATTCCTGCAAAGAATTTATAAATTATTAGGCAATGCAATCCGATACATATCAACATAGAGTCCCCATGCTGAACAGCTTAGCATATTCGTATACAAGGACAGACAATAAAAGGTAAGTTAAGATATAAATAAGCAGGATAAAAATAGCAAACAAATGAAGGTGTGTTGTAGCATTAGAATGATTCACCTTCTCTGGATATTTTTGAACAAAAAAACATTTATATTTAGATATTTTTGCTTCCCAAAGGACAAAAGGAATCAAATAATTCAGGGGGAATGCATATGAAGTACCACCTATGGGAATGGCAGAGACATACTCTGCCATTCAACTGTGATCTAACAGAAAAAAGAAGAGGACAGATTCATCGAATATTTAGTTCTTGGCTACAGCATCCAAAGCAATATGCTGCTATTTGCAGTGACGCCACAAAGAATCCTCTGCTTTCGTGACTAACAGAACTGTTTTGGGTAACCAAGCAGTTAGCCAGGAAGAACTGTAACTCGCTGTTAGAGTCAAAGAAACAGAAACTTAACTAAACTATGAATCAGGTATAATACTGAGTAACTTAGGAAAATTAGGAAATACCTTGCACGTTTGGCATCTGCTGCAGGTTCTTTAGCTTCATTCAACAACTTCTGTAAGTTTCTTATCTTTGCCTTCTTTTCATTCAGCACCAAAACAAACCGGTTATAAAGATCTGCCTCTAGTTCTTCTTTAGCTTGCACACATTTTTCCAGCCTACAACGTAAAATTAACTGTTACACTATTTCTTTTTAAAATTCTGTGTTTCCTGGAAGAAAATTCTGTAGTGAAGCCAGCCTTCCTATTACAGGAATCTCCATACATTACTAGTCCAGCATCCTGTGTCTGAAACATGCCAAAAGAAGCTTTTTTTTCCACAGAAAAGTGCAATGAACTTTGCTGTCAGAAGGGCAAAGTTTCCAAGAGGAAAATTTTCTCTTCGTGCTTTTTTTGATAGGTTCTTGCAGATATGCATCTGAGACAACTAAAATTTAAATAGGCAAGAGTTCTTTAGTTTTAGTGCTGAATTAACAATAATGGGCATACCTTAGCAGATACACATAATGAGATTACAAATAGATATGATTAAGCTTGACAGGTCCCAAATCAGGACCACACACTCTGACTTGAAACATATTTGAAAAAGGGATTAAAAAAAAAAAAAAAAAGGAAAAAAAAGAAACAAGAAATAGTCAACTCCAGTCCAACAAGGGCTGAGATGACCACCAAATACTTTGGGCAACACGACAGCTCCAGAAATCTTTCCTTGCCAGGATGCCCTGGGCAGACATGGGTGACACAGACCTTTGCCTGACCATTTTCCATCAAAAGCCTGGCGTGTCTGGTTCTGGTGAACTGGCAAGGTACAGAAACCGGTTCCTGGCAAAGCTCAACAGGACACCACAGCAACAGCTGATGGCAACTGCAATCCCTTACAGTCATTCAGACAAATGCAATGCTAGTAACTCCAGTGCTGCGACTCCATTTCGAATTACAGAGATACAGAGCTGAGATCTTGGTACACCTGCAGCCAGAAATAGGCAGATTTTTAAAAAAAAGAACCAATCACAATTACTTGGTAGAGGACAAAACACAATTTATATATAAATGTTTTAAAAGCTCTTAATTAGTATCTTCAGAGTAAAATATTCTTCATGTTTTTAAAGGTTTAATGTGCACCTGTAGGGTAGGTCAGTGTCAATAAAACAAAGCACAATGGAAATATAAAAATAAGACTATGGACGTATAATGTCTCATAATCAAAGCAGAAGTGGAATATTAGCAAACATGAGCACAATAGATGAAGTGACGTATAGCAAATGCATCCTATATTCACTTCTTGTATTTCATAACTTTTTATTCTTTGGCCTGAACCACAAACATTTTAATAGCTGTGTTCATAACAAGCAAATAAACATCTTGATAATCTTATTGATCATGGTAACTACAGTATTGTAGCAAATAGTCAGAAATTATAACCTGTGCAAGGTTGATAAAAAAAAGTTTAGAAGGCTTCCTTAAACCCGAACAAATAACAGATTTTAAAAAATATTAATTTATAAGGTAAGAAATTTCAACAACTTAATATACAAATACTGATTATTTTGTTCATATATCAAAGCCATATATGATGTAGGAAGAAAGACAATAGAAAATAATCTCATGAAGTATTAAGTCTACTGTGCAATGCTTTAGGGATATGCTTGATAGTTGATAAATAATTCATCTAATTTAAATGCAAATAGCAGAACATCATTACCATATAGATCGGTTCAATAATTCCTAAATGAAAGATCATATGTACTAATCAACTACCAGGAGACTTTGCACCTAGAAAAGGAAAGTTAACTGTTTAGTGGGGAACAAAAGGAAAATTCACAAAGGATCATAAACCCCAATACAGGGTCCAGAAGTGCCTCGACCAGCTCATGGAAGGAGAAAGGTAAGGACAGGAATTGCCTTCCATTTGTCAAGTAGAATTCAGCCGTTTAAAAAAAAAAAAAAGATTGTAAAAAATTAAATACAGCTGTTGGGTAAGTTGCTGTTTACATGCTTGAAACGAATTATGTCTGTATACATAAAAATGGAAAACATGGATTTTTGTGTAAAATATGGTAATCCTGTCTGTATCAAATCCTATAGAAAAGTCCCCTCTCCCCCACACAAAACAGTACTAACTAAAGAAAGTGCTTACTACTATGCCTTTATTTTGCTAGTGGACTGGTTTGTGTCAGAGCAGCTGAGGTTGGCTTAAATAGTTACGTTGAGACATTTTGCTGACTTGGCCAAAAAGGTGTTATGTAAGATAACTTCAGTGCGGACCTTGAATCCTGCAAAGACATCCACTAATGAAAATCCACAGTAATTCTAAACTCTCAGCGAAGGGAAGTTGATGCTGCCTGGATATTAAGCACAGTATAAGAACCTACTGCAAGACTAGCCAATTTCTTCAGCCTCTGGCACAAAATATTAGCATCTTGAAATATACATACTGACTATATGCATATATTAGAATGTTAACTCTTCCCTGTAGGCCAAATCAATTGGTTGTATGCCATCCATTAATGTCATATGATTGTTTTCATTTACGTGAACAGCTTTTTTGATTTCCCCCCTGTTTTTTAAAGTGATCCATACATAAATACATTCTCCAGACATAGATATGACATTAATTAGGCATAACATTCAATCAGTGTAAAACAGTGTTACATTAATGGTATATTTGAAAGTTATGAGTTATATGGCATATGCCGATACTTAAAAATGGAATAGTAAAAAGCAAGAGTCCTCTGCTGCTTGGGAAGAGGGATGCATTAATTATGCAGAACGTGTGTGGGGGTGTGTGTGTGTGTTGGGGGGGGTTGGCTCTGGCTGTAACTCTGCACAGCCTTTAGGATTCACTCAGGCATGCATTACCTGAATTACGTGACCACTAAGCAAAGCTGGCTGGGTTTCATTCCAATACCTCATCGGTTACAACTACGAACTTTAATTGCAATTCATCACATGCTTGTGCCTGTATGTGATTTGTCTCACTAAAATACCACCTCCCCAGGCCAAATAAAGAAGCTGCTCATCTCAAAGACAACTTTCTAGTACAACGGAAGTAAAAGGAAGTTAATGGCTAGAGTGGTACAAGTCTTATTTGAATATGCTTTCCAATTTCTATATTCTTAGATCTGTTACGTAAGTGCAATGCTTTTAATGAGCCAGAAACGCCCAAGTTGATAGCCATCAAAAAGCTTGCACAGCCTATGAAAGCAGCTAGTATTAGGAACGATTACGATCAGTAATTGAGAAAATAAGGTAACTGTCCAGTTCTTAAGTGTAGCCTAAACGTCAACCAATCACACATGCTTCACAGAGGTTTACATGATCTATGTAATCTAACGGCATTTATACATTTTCCACACTCGAATACTAGAAAGAAAAAAATCAACATCTCTGCTATCTATCCTTGTCCTCGGTGCTTGAAAATAACCACTGGTCTTACGGCACCCACTGTATTACATCTCAGATTCACCCTTCCCCCGGCACTGGCGATGGTATCGAATCTTGATGAACTAATGCTGAAGAGCACATTTCAAGCACCGAATTACCTAGCCTGCACTTTTATAAGCTGTTTGTCGTTTAAGAATACTGTCACTGTAGTTGACCACAACAGAAATTGGGAGCTATTTTGATGTTGGCTTGTCTACACTAATTTTCTTTTAACACATACCACACCCAAATCAGAAATGTGACTTGTGTTTTATTGGCCAAGGAATTATTTTGCTACAGATTGTTATTACTTCACATTTACCAATTTAATTATCTATATGAAATAAAAACAATAGCTATTCTCGTCTGATATTTTAATTCATCCATCCCTGAAGTGTACACACGTACACACAGTCCCCTCAGACACCCACTTGCAGTAGCATGAGAATAATCCTTTTGAAATTTTCCCTAGCCTCTCTGTTTGGATCTTGCCAGATAGTGTCTTAGGAATTTTTATTTTATGTTTTTAGATCAAGTGCTGAACATTCTAGCTAACCAATAACTCTCCTACGGATGTCACCTACACATGGGTCATTTCCTAAAAGCAGGGAGATGTTTAGCCAGGTAAAATCCTACACTTAATTTTCATCGTCTTGCTTATTGTAATGACCTAAGGGAGCTACAGCTTCAAACAGGAACGCTCTAAAGACCTCAGAAGCCACAAAGCTTAGAGTCAAGTACAGAAGTAATTTAATGATTTGATGATGCAGGGGATTTCTCTTGAAAGGGCTTTTTGGCATGCTCTTGCCTTTCGCCTTCACGTGAACCAGAATTGCAGAGGGAAGCGTCAGGAGCCATTCCTGTACCTGGCACAGGGCTGCCACGCGAGTTGTTACAGCCGAGAGGACTCTCTCTTGTAATTGCTTACAGATTGCTGACTAGGCACATTCAGCCTCCAGAAACAAACTTGCTTGTCCTTTTTACAGACTGTACGGAAAGCAGAACAAGTTTACACCTCAAGAGACCCTGGAGAGCTATGGGGCAAAGCTGCTGAGCCGAGCTCACACCACCTTCATGATAATCAAGAAAATTAGAGTAGGGGAATGGAAGGAGGATGACTGAATTATTCCATCTTGTGCCCTGTGCTTAGCTTGAACAAGAGCAGCCCTTGGAAGTTCTCATGCTATCTTTTAATTCTAATGAGGTCCTGAAGAGAGAGATTTTAAACAAGGGGAACTGCAGAATTCTAGAGCTGATGTGCCTTAGCTCCAGACAAAGAGGGGGCACAATTCTCCACGCCATCTGTTTTATATTTGGTTTTATCTTTTTGGGGCGTTTTGGGGTGTTCAGTTTTTTGACATTGGGTTGTTTTGGTTTTTTGGGGTTTTTTTTAATTCTTTTTGCCACAGCCCTGTCTACCCTGCTGTCGTTCTTGGTTTTTTGGCTCCAAATGCTGGGCCTAGTATTGCGAGTTTCGTGGACCTGAACAAAAGATTTACCTGTCTTTGTATTTGATGTTTTACCACTCAATGCCATGAGTGGTAAAGTGTGAAGCTTGAAATCCTATCTACTGAACAAAGACAGGTAAACCAAACCAAAAAAAAAAAACCCAAGAAAACAAAAAAACAACACTGTTTGGATGAAAATTATTTTTATTCTCCATTTAGCACACACGGCCAGAGTTTGGTGACCATACAACTTTCAATATTTTTTTTGAAAAATCATGTTTTTGCTATTTAAAATACAAACATACTAAAGAAAACCACCAGCTTTCGAAGCTTAAATACACTGCTTCTGAGAGCAAAGGCTGTCAAGCAACTGTGATTTTTTTTTTTCTTTGGGGTTACTCTTTAAACGTGCCACACCACCATGGAAATTGATACAAGCACTAATGCCTATTACACATTAGCGTGTAATGCAGTACAGCATACTAGTTATACAATACGCTATTGTTCAATAAACTGTTAAGCAGTAAAACACTACTTAGGAAGGCCATATGCTTGTCAGGGGGATTGTCAGGAGAAACTGTTAGTCATTTTAATGAGAGGGAAACAAAACTAACTCCTCCCAAAAGTAGCTCTCTTTTTCAAGGTAAATTAACATCAATTAGCTACATTCTTTCATCAGTGTTCCTAAATGTGCTTTTTTAGATAAAGCTATAGAAAAACAAGATAAATCTCTGACTTGTATGTGCTAAGCCTTTTATGCTAACTGAAATAAGCAAAGATTACTTCACTACAGAATGCAGTGGCTGACAACTCAGACCGAAAATGCAATAGCAAGTAAAAAAAAAAAAACCTCTCAAAAACTAAATGGTGCTTTTTCCTATAACACCACATTCATTTTGCAATTCTGTGTGCTTTGACAAAGCAAAGAGATTAAAGCAATGGCAACTTATTTCCCACCCAAAAATGTAAATAATTTAAACTACTAAGCATAAGAACTATAGAAAATAGTGCGAAAAGGCTTCATGAAGAAAGTAGAGAGTATTCTACAGAAAAGAGGTCACTTTTTTCACTTCATAAAGGTAAAACCAGCTTTAATTGACAAGTTTGTAATACCAGTTGCATTTTTGACATAAGAAGATGATCTACAACTACACACAACTTCATGGGCTGTAAGTAACTCAAAATGACTCAAAACACTTGTCAACAGGAAAAATATTTGTGTGGTCCTTTCTGCATATGACTTCAAAAGTGCTCATCAGCAAAGCCTGTACTGACAGTTTAAGTATTTGTGAGTCTCTCAAGTATCACCTGTGAATGCAATTTTAAACTTACCGCTTCTCCACATCGCGACAGTCACTGACAAGCCTCGCATTTTCTTTTTGCAAATGGTCTTTTTTTGCCTGCAGTCTTTGCAGCCGGTCCAGGCAGCAACCAATCAGCTCCTTTATCACCTCCGCTGGACTTGAAACTTTCTGTAGCTTCAGAGATCCAAGTCTAAACTAGGACAAAAGGAAAAGGTGAGTTACTTCACTGGTACTAGAAAGATCACAAAAACCTCACTTCCAGACATACTTAATAAGCATAAGAAACACTTAACAGTCCTCCAGTTCAAAATAAGATAGCGTATTTGTCACAAGAATAGTTGTGGAATAATCTACACGCCAATTATTTATGCAGCTAATCCTTCTTAATGGTCGCCTGTCATTAACAGGCACAGAACATAAGCACTGATGGAAAAGAGATGCCACGCAGCAAGTGTAATGTGGCATAGCAACACCCTGCTCTTGGACAGACAGGAGGAGGTCAGTAGGTGCAACCACAGGTTTTGTGGAAAAGGTGTTTTTGATGTAATGCAGAACCACATAAACTGAAAACCTAATGGTACTGCCAACACATTCTTGCCATCTGCCCAATGAATTAGCTGAAGTCACTCGCTGCCCATTCTGGCACCCACAGCAGCAATACAACCACATAAACGTTAATGATAAAACAAATTAATATTAATTACCTTTGATTCAAAACAGCACTACAAATGCCTCTCTATGATGCTTGCATGCACCTGATGGATGAAAACTACTCCACAAGTTTTCCCCTTCAGGGCTCAGACAGCAAGTTCTTAATAATAAAAGGAGTCCTTCAATTGAACAGGCAGCCTCAATAATTCAATAAGACTAAAGGATAGGATCTATAATGAATAGTTGCATTTCTTCAGCAATGGGGATGTTATACAGGCCATACAAGAGGTCTGAACATATTCCTTCTGCCTGGTCTGGCAGAAACAACAGAAAACCGTTGCTTCTGTTACATTAAAGGAGTAGTTCAGCCATACGCACAAAACAGTATCAGCTAAACGATAAACACGCAAAGCTGGATGAAGATATAAAAAGTGCTAACATGACAGTTTGAAGCAATTCAAGAAGAAAGATATTAAGGTTGATTGAACAGGGTCACACCATTACCTTAAGAGAAGCAAACCAGAAGTGAAGGACCTGACTTTGGTGCTCTGGAGTGGGTAGATGATGGGAAATCTGAACTACCTTAAGGTACACTTCCACAGCTGACAGAGCCTACAGAAGCCATAGGGAGCTTTTCTGACACCTGTCCACATCTAGCAGCACCACCATTGGACCAGCTTAACAAAAAACTAGTTGCGGGAGCAGATCCAGAGAAAAGCAGAGTGGGTTGGATGACACAATCCAGACTTTGGCCAGTTTAGACCACAGTATAAGCAGATCTTTCAGGAAAGAGTCATCAACATGACTTGGCTTTGACCAGAAACACCTGCAGAAACGCTGAGTTGGTGAGGGGTATGTGGAAGAAGAGGTCCTCGCTTGTATCTTGTAATCACTAAAAGGATTCACATAACTGTTGTGGCATTTCCCTATGAATAGGGCTACACTCATCTCTTTGACTTGAATGCATGGCAATAACATAATTTAAAAAAACCCACAAATGTAAGTGACACATACGGTACACAGCATTTGACAACGTCCCACACAATATCCTGGTCTCTAAATTGAAGAGACATGGATTCGACAAATGGACCACTCAGTGGATAAAGAGAGGGACCTGGACAGGCTGGAGAGGTGGGCCCATGCAGTTCAACAAGGCCAAGTGCAAGGTCCTACATCTGGGTCGGGGCAATCCCAAGCACAAATACAGGCTCAGCATGGAACGGCTGGAGAGCAGCCCTGAGGAGAAGGACCTGGGCGTGCTGATTGACCAGAAGCTCAGCATGAGCCAGCAATGTGCAATCGCAGCCCAGAAGGCCAACAGGATCCTGGGCTGCACCCAAAGAAGTGTGGCCAGCAGGTCAAGGGAGGTGATTCTGCCCCTCTACTCCGCTCTCGTGAGACCCCACCTGGAGTACTGCATCCAGCTCTGGAGTCCCCTACAGAAGAAGCACATGGACCTGCTGGAGCATGTCCAGAGGAGAGCCACGAGGATGATCCGAGGGCTGGAGCACCTCTCCTTTTTTTTTTTCAAAGTCCATTGATTTAGAACATTTAGACATTTTGGAAGTCACAGTGATTTCTGAGACACTTTGGAATGAAGATGTCTTTTGTTGGTTTGAACTAAACACTATATTTTAACTTGCAAAGAAATGTATAAACAGGACTCTATTGATCAAAAAATCATAGGAGTGATGAATGCAACGTTATAAATTATTTTGGTTTTTGCACAATCTTTAATGAAAATGATAAGTTATAATGTTCCTTAAGATTTTAATTCTTGACACGAGAGTGTATTTATCAAAGTGTTTATAGGACACAAACAAACTCTCAGAATGGGGTTAGAAACACAATTTAAGTCCTGCAGGTAAACAACACTATAAAGAGACAAAATACATTTTGCACATCAAGGCCAGGTTGGATGAGGCTTGGAACAACCTGATCCAGGGGAAGTTATCCCTGCCTATGGCAGGGGGGGTGGAACGAGATGATCTTCAAGGTCCTTTCCAACCTAAACCATTCTACGATTCTATACTAGGGAAAAGTTTGATCTCTGTTGTGGCACTTCACCTATTAAAATCAGAAAGATCATTTCATCCATTTTTCTCCTCACTTCAGTTCATGTTACTTGGGAGGGCATGGCAAATAATGAAATAAAAGTAATCCATGAGAAAAACGTGTAGCATTTGTTAATAATTTTTAAAAAGTGAAGTTTACGATTGCTATACATAAGGTTTTGCTGAAACAGGCCTTGTAAAAACTGCTCATAAAGATTTTAAAGGCATTGTTTGAAACAAATAACAGTCCATCAACATAGTTAAGGTATTTTATCTGTGGCAGTCTCTGCAACAACATACGATAACATCATGAGCTTCTTCAGCAAGGTTAAATAAACAGAAAATGTGGCAAACCCAAAGGTTTAATTTCAAATTAGCTACTGATCTTTCTTCCAAATTCACATGTACTGTCTCTAACATGTTGTTTTCCTTTAGCTTACATACATCTGATGGCTATAGATGAAAAGATGCATTTGATTTATTTTGGGAAATTAGATTACACTATCAGTAACCCACAGAGTGACATGTATTCCCTGGATATCACACTTGCTGTTTGACAGCATTAACAAAGACGGACATTTGCGTAAAGGAAACTGTTTTTCATCACTTGCAAACCACCACCATACTATATGGATAAAGAATTCATGCCACACTTTAATACTAGCCACAGAGATACAGAAGCACAGTAGCACAGATAAATAAGAACACAATCTTCTACTCACACTGTGGAGGAAATAGCAAGAAGAGTACATCTTTTTGTCATACACTTTTAATATAATGAGCTGAGATAAGATATAGGCAAATATGCTTAATCAGGACAAATGCACGTTGACCAAATTGCAGTTTACTCAGCACAAGAGCATAAAATATGAATACTACAAAAACAGGTTAAAGTGAATAGCAATAGATTTCAGCTGAAAGCCTGGTTCCGCTCACAATCAAAATCATGCCAAACACACAGCAGACATTTGAAAAGCAACTGTAATTATACACAAACACCAGTTCAGCCTCTTACTTAAACACATTACATAAACCTATACTAGTAGTGCAACATGGAGCTTTGAAACTGCAAAATACATCCTCAGCTTCGTGTAACACTGTCATGAAAGGATTTCTGAAAATCTGTAAGAAAAACCAATGTCCTTCTTTTTATAAAGCCTGATACACTTTCTTACAGAAAATTTCACTGCACTGCTTTCCATGTCTGACATACTGTGTGATCTGTGGACCATTTCTAGCAGGCCCACAGAAGATAAGCAAAGCAACCTGGTCACCAGGAAGCTTAAGTTTATGAGGCAGGTGCTCACATATCAACGGGGAAAAAAAAAATAATTATAAGGCTTCTGCAAAACAAGTATTTTTCTGTATTCCGCCCCCTCATCACCTAATCTTAGTTTACTATAGTTCTAGGAGCTGATTATCCGGGTTACACTGCAGCTATCTCCAGCACCTGAGTGCAGAAAAACAGGGGATGTTTGGATACAGGCCTAATTAAGCCAAAAGTAACGTGATATTAGATACACGGTTTTGCTTTGCCCCCTTCCTACAGAACATTATACAAAGTGTACCAAAAAGCCGCCTTAGGCTGTTTCTTCACCAAGAATTTGTTACAACAAGCTATTACACCGCAGGTTTCACCAACACAAGTGTTAGCACTAACAATAGTAACACTTATCTGAGCAAATTACAACTGATTGGCATTCCCCCTGTAAAAAGCCCAGTCCTGAGAGACTGATAAGCCACAAAGGCAGCCAGATCTGATTCACTCCCAAAGCATCAAGAGAAAGCACGAGCAATTCGTAAAACAATGTACAGAAAATGAAGTCTCAGGACAGTTTTGCTCTGGAGTCCTGCTAGGATCCCAAATTGGAAAGCAAACTGGTAAAAGAGCAGATACACAAAATAACACAATTTTAGATCCAAGGATTCTGAATTCAGGACAGATGTGTAATTTGCAGTACTGATTACGACAGAACTCTATTAAAATTGACTTAAAAAAAAAAATCACAAAAAAGAAGGTATTAGGTTTTTCAACATATTGCTTTTTTTTTTTTTTTTGGCATGCAACTAAAACGAGACACAGTTATTTGTCCTAATGTTGCCAAAACTGCAGTAGTGAAATTGGAAACGATTCTAGGAAGATTGACTAGAATTGGTTAAATATCAGGATACCATAACAAACAGTTAACTAGGTTGGATATGAAGATAAATAGATCTTGCTTACTGCATGAGTGAAAGCTCAGTATTAACACTTCACTAATCTAATTTTACATATAACATGCCTACAATTTGGATCACATTTCCAAGTAAGCCTCTGTTTGTACATTCCTGCACATTGCTGCTCTGCAGATCAATTTCTATTTCTTGCCATTCTTCCAGCTATTGGGGCTCTCTAGCTTGGTATCATCTGCAGAATTAATTAATGTGCTTGGTACTTCCTCTTTCAGATCATTCAAGAAAACATTATGTAAAACAGCGAAGCAGTAAACA